ACTCACTTATTTTGTCCATTTCCCCAAGGGTCGCCACCCCAACCACCATCACCCAGCGTCAGATAAAGATAACCGTCCACTCCGAACAACAACTGCCCTCCATTGTGGTTGATCATGGGTTGGTCAACTTCTAATAATACTCTCTCGGTGTCGCGGTCTGCTTTATTTGTATTTGTCGAGTCTACTAACATTTCACTGAGGCGAGTTAACAGGCTACGGCTATCACTTTCATTTCGTAGTGAGTTGTAGTAAATGTAAAACTTGCCATTATTCTCGAATTGAGGATGAAATACCATACTTAGAAATCCACGCTCGTCACCTCGCCTCTCCGTGGTTTCCACTTGATCTACAATGTCAAGGAAAGGCTCTTCAACACGAATTCCGTTGTCATAAACAAACACCACACCAATCTGTTCAGCAACAAAGTACCTGCCGGTACCGTCAAACGACGACACACCTAGAATAGGACTTGTAGACCGGAGTCGATTTCTTGCAGGCAGAGGCATTCATCAGAAGCATGGGTGGTGACTGGGTGATTTTGTTTGAAGTCCACAACGTCGAGCAGCATAGGATAGCAATATTCCGTGGCACCACTTTGCTGCAGCCCTTCACAAAATGATTGCTCTGAGCTCAATGAAATTAGTAGGTCAGCATCGTTGGTTAAGTAGGGAACTGCTTCTGTGCATTTGGCGTAGAAACTGCCACACTGGGTGGCACAGACTCCTGGCAATGGTACTTCTTTCTCCACTGATTCGCCATAGATATTGAACGCTACGGGAGAATATTTTTGACAGAGGATATCACGGGTATAGTCGACACAGGTGTCTGCTGACATAGTCGCCATGATGGTCTCAAAGGTGTTCTGTATGTTTTTATCATCTTCGTTAGTACAACAACCAAGTTCAGAGAATTTGGAACAGAACTGTAGTGGATTTTCTGGTTGGAATGGTTTCCCCTCATCACATAGCAATGCTGCCTCGAGAGGCTGTCGTAGAAATGCTATTATTGCCACGTAGTATATAAACACAACTGTTCTCCCCATGCTCTACAGTTCTAAAGTCTAAAGTTTAGGTGAAGTACATGTATATGTTCGTGATATTTCGTGGATAGCGGTGTTGACATTGATGTTACCCGTACTGTTTATAAAGAATATCTACAGAGTGTCATCTATCAAGTGAGTCACGCCCTCTACGCTTCTTTCATAACAATATTATAAACACATATTCTATCGTCTGCTAAGTTGACAAGTTAATCATTTTTGAGATTTGGATGACTAAAAAATCCGCTGCAGAAATGAAAAAAAAGAGTAAACACAACAATAACTGTATGTGTGAGACCTGATGTCTATATCTTTGGGTCGAACTGACCAGAACATTTAAAATCTAAGTGTCGCTGCCAAGCGAGTCAAGCTCCACGCGACTTTCGTTCATACCACTGTCGTTCATAAAAATAAGACACAGTGCCACACCAATAAAAAACATTTCTGAATAAAACTATTAATAAATTTATACACAATCATTCAAATACTACACTTGTCCTACATCTAGTCTATAATCTCAACATATATTTTCGTATGTCAATGAGAAACTTCACTTTTGGCCCTGGAAGTTCAAATAGTATTGCTGGCTGTTGTCACTGTTATAAGGGACCTTAATGGGAAATTAGAACCATTCATTTACAGTGATTGGATGATGAAGATCTGTCATGATTTTGCACCGAGGAAATGGACATTACATCGTGTTGGCTAGTCCTTATCAGACGAACATCCAGTCCTTCAAACCAAATCATAAAGAAGACAAAACAAACAAAGCAAAAGAAAGAGAATTCACAACGAACAATATAATTATGCTAATATTCCTCCACAAATGACACACGTTGCGTCCTTTGCAGGTCGTTGATTGGTTGATTCCTATCCCTAGATGTATCCCTATCTCATGGAAAATGGTCATCAATTTGAAAGGTTGCAAGTAAAATGCTTGAATCATATCAATCAACAATTACAATTTTATTGAATCGCTGTTTCACAGTTCAAATATATAAATTACAGACACATTAGGAATATATTAAGACAAGATTCACAATCGCAATCTCGCAATTCCTATTAATTTTTGTCAAATTCTATGTTGAATGAAATGCAAGTATAACGTTACATATTATAATCAAAGTAGGATTATAATCGCCCAGACTCTCTCGCTGTATTACTTTGAGTGTTGAAGAATTCACATCCTTTAAATAAATGGCCGGGGAACCAGATTTGTTGATGCACCGGAACACTGATCTGATCTGCAACCGGTGAAAGGATTTGCACTAAAACCATGGTTGTTTGCAACAAATGAACTTTAAAAAATAAATAATTGTCAATTTAGCCTTTATAGCGTGGTCGCGAAAACTTTCGCGTTCACGTTAGTTTACGCGATCACGCGATCAAATAACCTAAAACAAATAATTATTTCTTTTTGTAAAACAAAAAAGAAGTCCAGACGTTGTCAGTCTAGTAAGCACTAGCCCCGTCTGTCTGCGACTCTAAAACAACCCCTTGTCGCGTTCTGTTCAGAATTGTACTAACCATGTGAATATGAAATATCACCAATGATATTTATTCATGCGATGGAGACACACCACTCTATTTAGGACGGGCTATTTCAATACGTTACACAATTTGTTAGCGACACCAATATAAAGTAGAAAAATATGACACTGCTGTATATATAAGAACTCATATACCTCTTCATATTCTACTATTATAGACTAGTATAGACTCGTGTGTGAGCAATCGGATATAGTGAAACACCTGTTCATCAGTTTTATTTGTCAAGTATTTTAATAATTATGAAAATACATTAAAGGATGGCTAAAAAACTGTTAATCTTGGGTTCACATTGTTCACATACATAATTATTATTTTGTGCATTTCAATTATAATATTATTTATATATTCATATCGATGAATTCAGGGTTCTAGAGCAAATTAAACAAGACACCTATGCTCACGAGGCAGACACTGATGCCCATCACTGCGGAACCAGAATCTGCATCTAAAATATCAAGAAAAAAGTTTTAATATGAAAAATAGGGACAACGCGTATAAACACATTGCAATGGAATTCTTGGGTGGGAAGGAAGATGGTAAAACAACTGTGCAAATTTTGTTTCCTTTGGGATTCAGTATATTTTCTTGCGATATGATATTGCTACAGTTTTTTTTTGCTGTCCACTATCACTATTGCTGACATATTCTGTATAGATTTGTCTAGACTGAGTCTACCATCTGTCTAATAAAACATCTGGTTTGCAGTCATAAGTGCTAGACTATCAGACAATTACGTATCTACGCAAAAATATACAAAAATACGGCGTTTTATACAAATTGAAGCCAATACAATAATCGTTGACCAATTTTTCAGTCATTACGAGCGTCAATTTACAAATGAACATCAAGCCAATTCTTGATCACTCGATGTTTAACGTTTTGTACCCATACGTCTTCAAATAAATATAATATTGACTAAACGATAGTATTATATGGACAGATGGTATGTATGTCGGTATGTTCTGCATGCTTAATGCAGTGATGAA